GGGGGGGGGGAGGATCAGAGATCTAGCCATCTCTAATAAGACAGATTAAAAATATGACTCTGCAGGCTTTTCTGAAATTCCCCATATTTGGAGAACTAATTTCTTCTTGTTTCCTAAATTAACCATTCTCTTCCTTAACACCTCTGCATCCTTTGATATTATCCACATATTTTATAATAATTAGTGTTTACTTTGTGATCTGCTGTCACCTGAATCTATATAAAGGGGAAGGAACTGGCTTATGTGAATGGCCTCTGATACAAAGCCACATTTAAGAAGCCCTATAATGCCAAAATAGTAAGAGAAACACACCCTTACAGTTTATGTACATAAAAACACAGCCTGGTGTTTTAAGTCACATGCAGAGTCCCTGAAGTGTCTCTGAATTGTGTTGGGGAAATACAAATAGGAAAACAAAATATAAGGAATGCGAACTGTCATAGATATTGTTCTCTGAAAATGGATTATAAATCAGACTGTTCTTCAAATGCAGGAGCCGTTCACAGAGGAGATTTCAGCAGACCTCCGGGGCAGAGGAGATCGATCCAGCTCTATTCATCAACTGTTTTTCAGGAAGACCCAACTCTCGCCACCTTGCCAGGTAAGTGCAAGTTTCTTCTGAGAATAGTAGCGTTCCAGCTCCATCCATTCAGTAGCTGTGTTTAATACCGAAAACTGAGTCTATGTGTACTTGAACACAGTGTCAACCCACATTTGGCTTTCAAGACTGTTCTGGGGATGCAAACGGGAGACAATTCACAGGCATGGAACTTTGTGTTAGAAATGTAATTTAATTGTAGAAAGAGTTTAATATTTCTGAATACTGTTAAGAAGAGTACTTAAAACAGTTACAAATGAAATCTATGAATTGAAACAATAACAGATTAAACACACCTGAGAAGAATTTATTTTATTAAATATTTATGCCACCCGTCTTTCTTGTAATGTGTCTGTAAGTATACCAAGAAAAATATAGCACATATAAGTCAACACTAAGTGGCTGTGACAATAAAACTGTTGTTCAAATGACATGGGATTTCAAGGACATTACCAATATTTTGAAATAGGTTAGTAAAGATGTTCCTAGTGGCTCTGTCCTGTTTTCTCAGGAATTTGGTCAGCGACGCAAGTACATCTAGTGAATTTTCTGCCATAAACCTACTTACTGAGTTACCCCAGGCCAGTGGGAAGCTCCCCATGGTTGGCTGTGTTGCATTCTACAACCTGGAAGCCGTGATTTGTGCAGCTGCAGCTTTCTAGCCCCACGGACTATGTGGACAGGATGACATGAATCTGTCCTGAAAGAAAATGTCCATTTGGTCTCTCGCACATGTGTGTTTTCTGTTGTGTGCAGTAAGAGAGAGAACTTTCAACTGTTTCCTGGGATTGTCTGCTTTTTTCTCTTTCTAGATCTCTGATTCCTTTATGGGGGTGACTGTGGACTTCACTGATGAGGAATGGAGGCTGCTAGATTCTGGCCAGAAGGCCTTGTGCAGAGAAGTCATGCAGGAGGTTTCTAGGAATATGGCTGCTCTGGGTAAGACCAGGATGTTCAACTCTCTAAAGGGCCCTGGCAGAAGTATTCACCATAGAATTAAGAAATGTCCTAGATACTCCATGGAAGTGATTGAATAGATAGACTGATTAACACCAAAGCTTTAACCAGTTTTTTAGCTGAAAACATTCTTTCTATACAATCTAGAGACTCCTGGATAATAATTTGCAGATATCACATCCTGGCTGGACAAGTGGATTCTACCAAACCAGGAACACAGATTAGCATATTTGGGGGGGGGGAGACACCTCACCTTCAGCCTTCTAAATTCTAATCAGAATATTAATTCTCTTTTTTTTCATGCAGATGATGTTTTTGTGAATGAGAACGGCAAGCAAACAAGGTTAAATCTACTTCAAATAGAGAAGAATGAATTAAAAGTACTAATCCTTGGGCATCAGAGAGACACCAAAAGGCTAAAGAGAAAACAGCCAGAAGATGGGGGGGATAGGTCATCTACTTCTCTTGCTGTTTGCGGCTTTCTATCCCAGCAAGATCAGCAAGAAATGGGAAAAGGAAAATATAGGAAAAAAGAAAACATGAATTTGAATTACATAACTATGGCGGAAACCAGACCAGAGAAAAACTGCATGCCTGTAGATACTATGGAGAACAAATCCTTCGCTTCTGCTTCACCAGAGAAACTGTATTGGAAATGCAAACCACATACCCCTGTAAAATCTTTGGTGGATTCCAGTCTGAGCAGAAAGAGGAGCCTCTGCATACAGTGTGGAAAGAGTTTCAGCAGGAAAAGTAATCTTAATGTCCACCAAAAGATCCACACCGGGGAAAGACCATATAAATGCTTGGAATGTGGAAAGACGTTTACCTGGAAAGAAAGTCTTAAACTTCATGAAAGGATCCACACTGGGGAAAGGCCGTATAAATGCACCCAGTGTAGAAAGAGTTTCATTAACAACAGTAATCTTATTTGCCACCAAAGGATCCACACTGGGGAGCGACCCTATAAATGCATGGAATGTGGAAAGGCCTATACCCAGAAAGAAAAACTTAATGATCACGAAAGGATCCACACTGGGGAGAGACCATATAAATGCATGGAATGTGCAAAAACATTTACCCGTAAAAAAACACTTAATCGTCACGAAAGGATCCACACTGGGGAGAGACCATATAAATGCATGGAATGTGGAATTACCTTTATATGGAAAGAACATCTTAATCTCCACCAAAAGAGCCACACAGGGGAGAGACCTTATAAATGCATGGAATGTGGAAAGACCTTTATCCAGAAAGGACAGCTTAATCTTCATCAAAGGATCCATACTGGGGAGAGACCATATAAATGCATGGAATGTGGAATGACCTTTACCAAGAACGGAAATCTTAATCGTCACGAAAGGATGCACTCTGGGGAGAGACCATATAAATGCACAGACTGTGGAAAGAGTTTTACCCGAAAAGGACATCTTAATCTCCATAAAAGGATGCACACCGGAGAGAGACCATATAAATGCACGGAGTGTGGAAAGACCTTTACCCGAAAAGGAAATCTTATTCTTCATCAAAGGATCCATACTGTATAAATCAGACATGTCAAACACAACGCCTGGGGGCCGGGTGCGGCCCGCAAAGTGGTTTCATGTGGCCCATGAAGCCATCCTGGAAACAGTGAGGGAACGGCCCCCGCTGCCTTGGCCCTAGCCCAAGCCAGCCTGGAGCCGATGTACAATTTTGTGATGGCCATCTATGCTGAAATGCATTCAGTCTTAGCTCCATAAGCCCCCCCACCCCCGCATGGCCTGAGAGGAACAGTGAGGCTCCTCCAGTGGACCATGCCTTGGCACTTGCCCTGGTCCCACCCCCTTTTGCCAGAGACCCTCAGATCTATCCCACTCCTGCCCAGGCCCCCACAGGCACCCTTGACGCAAACGATGTAGAATTGGCCACACCCACCCCGTAGGCCACACCTGCTCCATCCACACCCACCCAGTAGGCCGCACCCACCCTGGCCACACCCACCCAGCCCCCTGAGGGCAACCACAATACTGATGCGGCCCTGAATGAAATTGAGTTTGACACCCCTTGTATAAATGCAGGGAATCTTGAAAGAACTTTATTAGCAACAATAAACTTAATTGCTACCAAAAGGTTCACACTGGGGAGCAATCAAAGGAATGCATGGAATGTGGAAAGACCTTTACCTGAAATGGATATCTTAATCTTCATGAAAGGATGCCCACTGGAGTGAGAGTCTGGATGGGGAGGAACAGGCTTCGACTCAACCCGTCCAAGACCGAGTGGCTGTGGTTTCCGGCGTCATGACATAGCCAGTTGGCTCCATCTCTGGCTATCGGGGGCGAGTCATTAGCTCCTGCGGAGAGGGTCTGCAACTGGGCGTCCTCCTGGATGCTTGGCTGTCTTTAGACGATCATGTGACGGCCGTGGCCAGGGGTGCTTTTCATCAGGCTCGCCTGATACGCCACTTGCGCCCCTTTCTGGATCGGGACGCCCTACGCATGGTCACTCAAGCCCTCGTTTCCCACCTGGACTATTGCAATGCTCTCTACATGGGGCTCCCCTTGAGGTGCACCTGGAGGCTCCAACTAGTTCAGAATGTGGCCGTGTGGGGGATTTTGGGGCCTCTAGATACTCCCATGTAACACCTCTCCTGCGCGAGCTGCACTGGCTGCCTGTGGCCTTCCGGGTGCGCTTCAAGGTGTTAGTAACAACCTTTAAAGCGCTCCATGGCAATGGACCTAGGTATTTGCAAGACCGCCTCCTATCAAATACCTCCCTTCGACCAGTCCGCTCCCACAGAGAGGGCCTCCTTAGGGTGCCGTCGGCCAGTCAATGCCGGCTGGCGACCCCCAGGGGGAGAGCCTTCTCTGTGGCAGCTCCTGCCCTCTGGAATGACCTACCCCCGACCTACGTACAGCTACGGACCTGTGCCTCTTCCGCCGAGCCTTGAAAACCCATCTATTCTATGCGGCCGGCCTGGCATAGTTCTGATTGTGTTTTGGTAGGGGTTTTTATATGGGGTATTTTAGAGCAGGCTTTTTATTTAATATTTATTGTGATTTTTATTATTGCCTGTTCACCGCCCTGAGTCCCGTAAGGGAGATAGGGCGGTATATAAATTTAAATAATAATAATAATAATAATAATAATAATTATTATTATTATTATTATTATTATTATTATTATTATTATTCATGGAATATGGAAAGTGCTTTGCTCAAAAAGAAAAACTTAATCATCATGAACCACGGGAGTCTGTCAGTTTTTTTTTTCTAAAGTGCCTGGCCTCTGCAAGGTTTTGTTTCCAAACTTCTGAGCACCAAGTGCAAATATAGCTTTAATCATTGCAGCACATTTGGTTATCACGGTGGCATCCACACAGGATAAAATTGGAAATACTTAAGAAGTGGAACCACCATCACTGAGTATGCTTAATTCCCATAAAATGATCCACTCAGGAAAAATAAATGAAATCCATGGATTGAGCTTTATTCTCAGCAATCAACTTAATTGTCATCTCAGGATCCAGACATGACAGAGAGCTTACTAATTCATGGAATGTGCAACAGTCTGGTTTGTATGAAATCTTGTTTACCATCCATGTAGCTACAGAGAAGAAACAGAACAAGCAGTAGAATTTGGAAATTGCTGATGTTGGATCAGTGACCTTACTGATGTCTTTCTTCTTGAGCCCAATACCGTGTTTCCCCAAAAGTAAGATGTCATGTGTCTGATTAACGAAACACTTTTTTAACCTAAAAGCCTTTATTAAGGTTACAGAGATGTCAGTACGGCATGGTGGAATGCTTAGATCTGATTTTCTTTTTCGTTGCACATACATTCCAGGCATTTTTCCCTCCCCTATTTTGGGGTCATGGTTCACATCTTCCAATTAACTTGGAAGATGTGATTCACTTCCGGTTCCTTTTTCCCGGGCTTTCCTTATTCTCCTCCCCTTTCACTGTTGCCTGATTTAACTATAAAAATACCAGACAGTTCTGCATATTGTCAAAGCAAGAATATACANGCATTTTTCCCTCCCCTATTTTGGGGTCATGGTTCACATCTTCCAATTAACTTGGAAGATGTGATTCACTTCCGGTTCCTTTTTCCCGGGCTTTCCTTATTCTCCTCCCCTTTCACTGTTGCCTGATTTAACTATAAAAATACCAGACAGTTCTGCATATTGTCAAAGCAAGAATATACAGTATTTGCAGCGTTGACATAAGACCCTGTCTTACTTTCTTTTGGTCTCTGAAATAAGCACTAAGACTTAATTTCGGGTAGGGCTCACTTTTGCCAGAACCAGTAGGCTGCGAGTGCACGGGAGCAGGGCCTGTGCATGGGGTGGAGACGCAAGACGGCGAGAGCGTGGTGACAGACCAAGCATCCAGGTGGGCAGGGTGTGTTACCTTCCCATGCTAGGCCAGTTTCTGGGGGGTTGTGCTGCGGGAAGGGCGCTAAGGTGGTGGAGTCCAGGCTGACACTCCTCCAGCTGTAAGTGGGGGGCTTTTGCCCTGGGGATCAAGGAAGGCTGCCTTCCTAGCCTGGCCGGGCCTGTCTGAGAGGTGAATGGGGAGGCCGCAGGCCAGGACCAAAGGAGCAGGTGGAGTGCTGGAGCCTCGGGGAGGGAAGCTGCTGAAGCGAGAGGGTGTCCTGCCATTAGCGTCCACGCCAGCTCCTTCAACACCCGCCAGCTGAATTGCCAGCTGACTGCGTTGCCTCTGTGCTGTGTCCTGGGTCATCACACTATGTTTCTCCTTTTTACAAAGAATCAATGAGAAACAACCTCTATGGAACACAGATAGGGATGGGGTAATGGTATGTGGAAATGACTTTGGGAGATGGGGAAGACTTGCAGACTCGACAACCATCATGTTTTATCAGGTACGCCTGATTCACCAGTTGCGGCCTTTTCTGCACTGGGACGCCCTGCGCACAGTCACTCATGCCCTCGTCACCTCCCGCCTGGACTACTGTAATGCTCTCTACATGGGGCTCCCCTTGAGGAGCACCCGGAGGCTCCAACTGGTCCAGAACGCGGCCGCGCGGGCGGTGTTGGGAGGGACTCGTCGCTCCCATGTAACACCGCTGCTGCGCGAGCTGCACTGGTTGCCGGTGGC